TTGAGAGAGTGTGAGGGGGAAGGGGCAGATAGAGAGGAAGAGGAAGACACAGAATCTGAAGCAGTCTCTGGGCCTCTGAGCTGTCAGCACAGAATCCGACATGGGACTTGAACTCACAAACCCTGAAATCATGACCTGAGCTGAAGTCAGATGCTCAACCAACTGAGCTACCCAGGTGTCCCCCATCCTCTATGTTTGTAATTCATTCCACATCAGGACACAGAAATACCATTCTATTTACTTCTTTGTATTTTCATAAAATGAAAACAAGAATCATATGACTGACATGTTCAAGTATCTTAAAATCCTGAAATATAACAGTCATAGATAGAAACTACACCAGGTGGAGTCACCACAGAAAGGAAACTTGATTTTTCACCAGTAAGGAGATCACGGGCAATAACTTCCAAAGCAGAGACACACAGAGGGAAGGGGAACGGTTTCCTTTTATTTAGGGTTAGGGTGGATGTTTAGAAAGAGAGGCCTTGTCATATAGATGTGGGCATAAGATCACACATGTTCCTTAAGACAACAGTTCTTTACATACTTTGTATCTTATATAAATGAGGTTTGTGTTCCTACTTGGGTGGGGATTTTAGTATTATAATGAGTAATGGTAATGAGTCACGAGGAGACTGGGTTACTCCTTGGTCCATCTGCAGAGGTGTGAGTCAGGGGTTCAGCTCAAACTAGGCCAATCCAAGCTCTTCCTCAGGGCAGTCATTGCCTTTTGTTGGATACTTTCTGTTTCCATCACAGGAGACTGTGCCCATGGGGTGTTTTGCCTGAAATAAAAGATAAGTTGGAAAGAAGAGTTTAAGTAAAATGAGGACTAAGGTCAGCGGGCACAAGCAGGTAAGCAGTGAAGTTCAGGTCTTGGGTCTAGCTGGTGACATTAACTCCCTCTTTCATCTTAGGTACGATTATGAACCCCACCTTGGGCCACTTGGTAACTGTGGTATTTATTGCAGGAACTGCTGACCTTCAAGGATGTGGCCATAGAATTCTCTCAGGAAGAGTGGGGTTTCCTGAACCACAGTCAGCGGGAGCTCTATAGAGATGTGATGTTAGAGAACTATGGACACCTCCTCCTCTTGGGTGAGGATAACTCCTTCCAGACTTCCCAAACCACACTCGGGGTTTTGTTTCTTCCTTTGAAGACTGTCTCTTGGAAGCTTCCTCTTCGCATGACTGGGATTCAGATCCCTGCAGTCAGGGAAAGAAGTAGGGGTTTGAAGATGTAGAGAAATACCTTCCTGATGTTTCCTTTTCAGCTTCAGCTTTCTCTTTCTTAAGGTACCATCATCATTTATGTTGATTAGTGGCCATTCTAAACATTGAATGGCATAACAAGGTATTGCCCACATCTTAAACTCCAGTTTTCGCTCCTTATTATTGTGTCTAGTACATGGAAGTGGGAGGTCAAGATGTGAACATTGGAAATCCCTTCTGTGTGTTCTCAAAGGGGCTGTTGGGCAACAGCATTTGGGAAATCATTTTCTAGAATTCTACAATGTCCTCTTTCATCTACTGAGCATAGTAGTGGACTGAAAGGTAGAATCTCCAGTAATACTCCTATTCCTTTTTTTCCAATTTACAGGTCTTGTGTCAAAACCAGACCTGGTCAACTTCTTGGAGCAAAAGAAGGAGGCTTGGGATGTGAATGGAAAGGGGACAGTAGCCACACATCCAGGTAGGTGGACCTGAATGAAGCAAATGACAGAGGAGAGGTCCAAATGTGAGGGAGGAAGATAGACCTTAAAATGTAGTTCAAGTGACTCTCCTTGAATGGAAGTTAGTCGAGAAGCCTAGTTTTATTTCTCTCCCTCTTACAGAGGGACATCTGCTACCCAACATTATCATGCCTTTATACTCCCTAAGGATTCTTCTTTAGCTCCAGTGATGGTTCATCATGTCCACTGTGAGGGCCAGAAGATTCCCCTCCATAATCTGAGATCTTCTCCTTTGCTTTGAGGGCTCCAGAGAAATCTCGGTATTTCTGAGGAACTGTATGCTAAGCCATTTCTAAATTCTGTTTTGCCTCCTGTTACAAGTGTGTTAAGAGTAGTGGCGGCCATATTGGGTTTTGGTGTAGAAATCCCTGGAACACTGGAGACTGTGATCACACATTTTCTGGTTTATGCTTTCCAATATTATGGAGGCTTTAGTCTTAATCCTAAAAAATTGAGAGTCAGTAATTTTATCAGGTAACAAAGCACCTCCCTAATAGGAGAAAGTCTAATCCGTTAGTTCACTTCAAAAATTCATTTTTCTTTGTATTAACTGAAGCTGAAATCTCCATTCTATGTGTTCATTCCTCAGTGATGAAATAATTTTTTTAACTTGTTTTTAATGTTTATTTATTTTTAAAAGAGAGAGAGAGAAGGAGATAGAGTATGAACAGAGAAGGGACAGAGACAGAGGGAGACAGAATCTGAAGCAGGCTCCAGGCTCTGAGCTGTCAGCACAGAGCCTGATGCCGGGCTCAAACTCACGAGCTGTGATCATGACCTGAACTGAAGTCGGACGCTTAACCGACTGAGCCATCCAGGTGCCCGTGATAAAATAATTTAATGTACCTATTCGTATCCTAGAATTCTTGCTTAAATTAATGTCACAGGGGACCTAGAACATTTAGAATGTAGAATTTGCAGCGTGTAAAAAAGTTTCAATTGTAACATTCATTAATAATTGTATCATTTTATAATTTTGACTTATATGAAGTTCTTGTTACCTTTTTATATGTGTTTTCACTTTCTGGTTAGTTATATATGAGATTCATCTCTGATTTTTTAGCTCAAACATTATGATATGGGCATGTGCTTTATAAGAAGTGAGGTGTAGGGTCACCTGGGTGGCTCAGTCGGTTAAGTGTCCGACTTCAGCTCAGGTCATGATCTCACAGTTCATGGGTTTGAGTCCCATGTCGGGCTCTTTGCAACAGCTCAGAGTCTGGACACTGCTTCAGGTTCTGTGTCTCCCTCTCTCTTTTTGCCCTTCCCCTGCTCACGCTCTGTCTCTCTCTTAAAAATAAAGATTTAAAAAATTTTTTAGGGGCGCCTGGGTGGCGCAGTCGGTTGAGTGTCCGACTTCAACCAGGTCACGATCTCGCGGTCCGTGAGTTCGAGCCCCGCGTCGGGCTCTGGGCTGATGGCTCAGAGCCTGGAGCCTGTTTCCGATTCTGTGTCTCCCTCTCTCTCTGCCCCTCCCCCGTTCATGCTCTGTCTCTCTCTGTCCCAAAAATAAATAAATGTTGAAAAAAAAAATTTTTTTTTTTAAATTTAAAAAAAAAAAATTTTTTTTAATAATAAAAAAATTTCAAAAAAGAAGTGAGGTGGATAATTCATTAAATTTTCATATTAAAAAAGTAGTTTTCTTTAAATAAAATTTAGGAAGAATTAATCATTAGGTTTTTTCTCAACTTAATCCCAAGTATCTGTTTTTCTGAACTTAATTCCAAATATTTATTTTTTCTAAAGTGATTTCCCTTATGTTTTACAACTTTGATGGTGTTTATTTAGAAATGAAAGGTTTTGTTCATCTGCTTGGTACTAAAGAATGGATTATAGCTTCGCATTCATAGTAAGAGAAAGAATATATTAATAACATAAAACATTTTAAATGTATTTTCAGTGTTTACTCATGAAATTTTTCATGAGAGCTCTTTATGGTTGGTTTTTTAAGTTTATTTATTTATTATAAGAGAGACACAGAGAGAGAGGGAGAGAGAGAATTCCAAGCAGGCTCTGTGCTCCCAGAGTGAAGCCCAACATGGAACTCAAAGTCATAAACTGCGAGATCGTGACCTGAGCCGAAACCAAGAGTCTGACGCTTAACCAACTGAGCCACCCAGGCGCCCCATGTTTATGATTGATTTTAATGAAAATTCTTTACTATTTATTGTCAATGAGACATTACGATAAGTCAAAATGATTACTTTTCATGAGTACACAGTCACAGTTTAAAATTATAGTTATATAGCACGTTTCCTTTTAAAAATTCATCTGTTTTTGTGTAGTACTTTTGGTTTAAATTTTGTTATTCTGGCTTTGCAATCCCATAGTAATATGCTTCCTTTTGTCGGGACCTTCCACAACATTAGGTAGCTGCTTTTGTCATGGTGTTTTAAAATTCTCCTTTTCTCTGTAATTTTCGAGGTTAGTTTTATAATGTGTCACTGTGTTCATGTTTTTTTTTAAATCATGCTTCACTGTGTTCATTTCTTGACATTTATCCTGCTGTGAATTTACTGAGCTTGTTGAAATTGTCTCTTTTTTCCACATATGTAAGAAGTACAAACCTTTAGTTTTTTGTGTAGGCTCTCTGCCCCCTTTCATTCTCCTCTCCTTATGGGATCCCCTTAATTTACATTTGGACCTCTTTTTTGTGTGTCACTTGAGTCATGTAGGCTCCATCCTTTTACATATTTTTCTAGTCTCGTCCCACTAGATAATTTAAAACAAGGTGTCTTTAACTTGTCTGATTCTTTTCTGCTTGATCAAGTCCATCCCCCACCCAACACCCCACCAACAACCCTCAGTTTGTTCTCTGTATTTAAGAGTCTCTTATGGTTTTCTCCCTTTCTGTTTTTATCTTGCATTTGCTTCCCTCCCCCTGTGATTATCTGTTTTGTTTCTTAAAGTCTAAATATGAGTGAAGTCATATATTTTTCTTTCTCTGGCTGACTTATTTCACTTAGCATAATACACTTCAGTTTCATCCATATTGTTCCAAATGGCAAGATTTCATTCTTTTTGATCGCTGAGTAATATTCCATTGTTATATATATATACCACACCTTCTTTATCCATTCATTAGTCGATGGACATTTGGACTCCTTCCATATTTAAGCTATTGTCAATAGTGCTGCTATAAACATTGGGGTGCATGTGCCCCTTTCAATCAGCATTCCTGTATCCTTTGTATAAGTGCAATGGCTGGGTTATAGGGTAGTTCTATTTTTATTTTTTTGAGGAAACTCCATACTGTTTTCCAGAGGGGCTGCACCAGTTTGCATTCCCACCAGCAGTGCAAAAGAGTTTCTTTTTCTATGCATCCTTGCCCGCATCTGTCATTGTCTGAGTTGTTAATTTTAGCAATTCCGACTGGTGTGAGGTGGTATCTCATTGTGGTTTTGATTTGTATTTTCCTGATGATGAATGATGTTGAACATTTTTTCATGTGTCTATTAGCCATCTGGATGTCTTCTTTGGAAAAGTGTCTATTTGTGTCTTTTGCCCATTTCTTCACTGGATTATTTGGCTTTTTTTGGGTGTTGAGGTTAATAAGTTCTTACTAGATTTTGGATACTAACCCTTTATCTGATATGTAATTTGCAAATATCTTCTCCCATTCTGTCTGTTTTGCTGTTTGTTTTTTAGTTTTGCTGTTTGTTTCCTTCCCTGTGCAGAAGATTTTTATCTGGATGAAGTCCCATTTTTGGTTTTGTTTCTCTTGCCTCTGGAGACATGACAAGTAAGAATTTCATGCGGCTGAGGTCAAAGAGGTTGTTGCCTGTTTTCTCCTCTAGGATTTTGGTGGCTCCCTGTCTTACAGTTAGGTCTTTCATCTATTTTATTTTTGTGTATGGTGTAAGAGAATCGTCCAGGTTAATTCTTCTGCATGTTGCTGTCCAGTTTTCCCAACACAATTTGCTGAAGAGACTGTCTTTATTCCATTGGATATTCTTTCCTGCTTTGTCAAAGATTAGTTGGCTGTACATTTGTGGGAACCCAATTCTGGGTTCTCTATTCTGTTCAAGTGATGCATGTGTCTGTCTTTGTGCCAGTACCATACTGTCTTGATGATTAAAGCTTTGTTAACACAGCTTGAAGTCTGGAATTGTGATGCCTCCAGCTTTGGTTTTCTTTTTCAACATTACTTTGGCTATTCTGGGTCTTTTGTGGTTCCACACAAATTTTAGAATTGTTTGTTCTAGCTCTATGAAGAATGCTGGTGTTACTTTGATAGGGATTACACTGAATATGTAGATTGCTTTGGGTAGTATCAACATTTTAACAATATTTGTTCTTCCAATCCATGAGCATGGAACGTTTTTCCATTTCTTTGTGTCTTCTTCAATTCCTTTCATAAGCTTTCTATAATTTTCAGTGTATAGATTTTTCACCTCTTTGGTGAGGTTTATCCCTAGATATTTTATGGTTTTTGTTGCAATTGTAAATGGGATTGATTCCTTGATTTATTTTTCTGCTGCTTCATTATTGGTGTATAGAAATGCAACTGATTTTTGTACGTTGATTTTATATCTTGCGACTTTGCTGAATTCATGGATTCACTTCTAACAGTTTTTTTTTTGTGGAGTCTTTTGGGTTTTTCATGTTGTCAGTGAAGAGTGAGAGTTTGACTTCCTCCTTGCCAATTTGGATGCCTTTTATTTCGTTTTGTTGTCTGATTGATGAGGGTAGGACTTTCAACACTATGTTGAATAACAGTGGTGACAGTGGACATCCTTGTCATGTTCCTGACCTTAGGAGGAAAGCTCTCAGTTTTCCCCATTGAGGATGATATTAGCTGTGGATTTTTCATATATGGCCTTTATGATGTTGAGGTATGTTCCTTCTATCCCTACTTTCTTGAGGTTTTTCATCAAGAAAGGATGCTGTACTTTGTCAAATGCTTTTTATGCATCTATTGAGAGGATCATATGGTTCTTATCTTTTCTTTTATTAATGT